ATAGCTTTATGCCAAAGTGTAATGAAATTAAATTTATGTCACTCTATTTTAGCTTTCTTTTCTATGAACTAATCATGAATCTACTGCGTCACTTGAGTTTGCTTAACAGCTGGTATTGATGAAAAGATACTGGTCTTAATATATAGTAAGGACGGTTATAATAAACCCAGCACAATATGCTGAAAATTTTTATGAGTCAATTCATAATGTACATGTGAACTTGTCAAAAAAAATCAATACCTTAGTGAAGGATAAAGTTGGGGGGAGGGGTTCTGAATTCAGAATTTTAAAATTATTCTACCATTTGTTTTTAAGTTTGTCTTTTTTTTTAAAGTAGCTATTTAAAAATTATATGTGGATTACATTTACATATTTTTAGCTAGCTACTTTGCCCCATTAGATTAGTAAACAAATCCTGACCAGGAAGCTTTTTCCCAATCTGATAGCTTCTAGATGTTAAGAAAAATTGGGTATGATCATATTAATTTGCTGTTAACTAGTGTCGTACAACATTGCTAAATGACAGTCCATCTGTCAAATTAATGTCATGACATCCTACTTGTTATTTTAATATGTTATGAGGATGAAATGTGTTTTTTAGATATGTTTTACGTTTGCACTAAGTAATGGAATGTACAATATATTATGTGCCTGTGCCCTGAGGAAAGTTTTTAACAAAAATAATTGAAGGTCATAAATCTTACCCCATTTTCTTCTGCGTTGCCCCTTCCCCAGTACAACTTCTGTATTATTGTATCTGCTATATGTAGCAAGCCTTCTAGATAATGACAGGAGCTGAGTACTATTGTGGGCATTATAGAATAAAACCCACAATATCTGCCAAAAGTTTGCTTTTCTCTGGAACGTTGATTTAATAAACACTCTCTATGATCATTTTATGATGATTTGATTCCCTTTCCTAAGACTGAAATGTGCTCTTGAATGATGTTGCTATTGAACATAAGACAAGTGTTCCAAATAATTAGTAACATGTATAAGCTAATAAATCTCTCCTACGGTTTTAATTTGATTGTGCACTCGGTAGGTTTTTGCTTAAGAGAGTGTGTGCAGGGGTGCAAGATTTATAATGTGTTCGGGTATTTTGTTTAAATTGTCATAGGCAGCAGTGATAAAGTTTGGTGCAGAGAATGATGTAATTCATATTTGATATATAACTTATTATTATCTTTAATCATGACTTGATTTTGCCAACTTTCCCCAATGTGAATTTTTTAAATTTGAAGATGATTCACTCTGAGACACATTCATACAACTAGTGTCCCTCAAAGTGCTTTGTTTTCATGTCTAAATATACAGCCCAGCTGACTATTATGCAGTATCTTTCCAAAAATGATTATAGGGTTTCATAGCTTTTATGTAACATTATCCAGAGTATTTTCGGTGTATGTTTAAATGTGACAACATGTTGTGAAAAGCAAATTTTTAAACTATTTAAATGGAATACTTTTCAACAAGCAATAATGATGTGAATGTAAACTAATCCAATATATATGAATGTAGCCCAGGCTTGCAGTATTGGTTTACCCATTAATTTTCTTAGCCCAGGTGTTTGTTTAGTGGGAAGTCTTCTCAGAAAGTGATGATAGATGTATTTTACTCAGAGCTGGTAATACAAGCCCAACATCTTGTACTTTTCATGCTCAAAACTCTTTGGTTAGGAACCATTGCCTATAAAGCTTAAAAATTACCATTCAAGAAAATTATTCACGATCTTTTAATAGAATAAACACTTTCTTAAAGCTTTCAATGAGCAAATTAGAACATTTAAAACCCAGGTTAAATTTTATTAATAATTTTATT